ATCTGGAGGCCACAGCTGTTTCTTCTCAACGACTTCAGCTGTTGCTAATTAGCCAGTTTTTTTTGTGGGGGTCTCTTTTTTTTGGCCTTGCGGCTTGCAGGCGGTCCGGTGCTTTGTCCGGTGGTGTGTTTTTGTGTTCCCTTAGCCCGTTGGGCCGCCGGGCAGGCGCTGTGGCTTGCAGGGCAGGTGCCCGACTGGCCGGCGGAGGAGCTGCCAATGGCCCTGCAAGGTTTCCACGAGGACTGGCGGGGCGAGAGCGGCTTCGGGGAGTTCCGGCGAGTGGAAGGCGCCGCCTTCGCGTCGAAGACGCGTCGACCGCAACACGCGGGGGACGTGTCGTGTGAGGTCGTGTCTGGCAGGGGGGGGGAGTGGGCGTGGGAGTGTTTGGGATGGCGATTTGGTAGCGGATCTGTGGACTTTGAATGTTTTTTGGTTGGGGCAGGTGGGATTTTCCGTGTTGGACCCACAAAAGGTTCACAGGGGTCAACAGCAACCAATGATTGAGATTCGTATTCCTAAGCGTCAGATATTAACACTGATGTACTGGATGCATGAACGCGAGGCACTGCCGAACTCGCAACCGCCAAAGGCTCACGGTGGTTTTGGAGTGCCTGAGGCTTCTCAATGTACGTGGACCGGAATGACATTGAGATGCCGCTCTACAAGCTGGTGCTGGCCAAGCCCAGGAGCGGGAAGGGGCCATGACTCGTGAGTCGTGGGGGGCTTGGGGTGGGGGGCTTGGGGGATGGGGGGCGGCCGTTGCAGGAAGGCTGGCTTTGTGGACGTGGTGGTGCGCTGGAATTTCAAGGCTGGGTGCGAGGCGCTGGTAGTGGTTGCGCGCTCCGGGCAGGTGCACTGCAAAGCTGCCCGGCAGGGCCAACTCGGGCGAAAGTGGGCAGGAGGCTTTCGGCGGGGTTTGTCTTTTGGTGAGACCCCTTGGAAAGGTCACGCGTGTGCTTTCAATGTCCTAGGAGCTGCAAGCAATGAGCAGAATTCAGCTTTTGTAGCTTCTTTGTGCGTTGTCACTGCACGGCTGGCTGAGGAGGGTCCAAGTGGCGGGAATGAAGACTAAGGAGCCCGGGATAATTTTTACGGGGACGGAATGCGTTTCCAAGCTCCAAGCGCAGTGCTTCCGGTGCTGCTTGATGTTTTTCGCCCCCAGCCAAGGAAGAGGATTGGCCCCTGGCGGAGTTCAACACCGAGGTTAGAGAGGTGCTGAACCTGCGCCGTTTTTCGGGCCTGTTTTTGAGGCACGGCACTTCGTGTCTGGTGCTGGCGTGCTGCATCCTCTACTTTGCGCGGATGAGCGTGCTTTTGCAGCTGGGGCCGAGTTTCTGAGAGCCATTGTGAAGTCTTGCTGGTTCCGGAATGTTCCAGACGTTGAGAAAACGGGCCGCGGTAAACATTGCTGTTGTGATGGATTGTGATATGCGTTGGAGTTGGGTGCTGTTTGGCTTCCCAACAGAGTCAAGCGAATCACAATTGTCAGTTGGTACCAGCTGTGCGCTAGGTTCGATAGCATTTCTGAACATATTTTTTGCACAGCCTGTGGGCTTTTGAAGATGGTTGCGCTTGTTAACAGCGATGTTGGGCTTTATTTGTGTCTTGCCCTGCGCTAGCTACTGGCATTGGCGTCCCAAGTAGGATCCTGTGTTGCACATGCCATGACACCTTCCAGTGTAAACAATCAAAGAGATGGCGATCCAGCGGGGTGACAAAGCAAGCACGCGTGGAACTTGCAATATTGCAGGCAACCTTATTTTCAGCACCCTTGCGTCCTTGCCAAGATTTTGATAGATGGGCGCATATGTTGCTTGGGGTGGCAGAGGCTTATGATTGGCAAGCCCAGGCACGATGCCCAAATGTGGTGGTACGAGCCGGTCTTGGTGTGCGTGGCCTTGCTCCCGTCCATTCTGGCCATCCGGATCATGCCGCTGGACGTTTGGGAGAAGGAGAGCTTTGTCGCAGAGACGCCTAGCAAGCGAGCAAACTTGGAGGAGGTGAATGTGGTGACGCCCACCTCTTCTCCAATGCCACCATCTCTGCACTCCCCAGACCGGCCCAAGCGCCAGAGCGGGGTCTCCAAAACCAGCTCTGAGCCTGGGGCCCTGAGTGGGCCAGCGCGGATGCTGTGGGAGGAGCGCTCGCCCGAGCGGCCCGAGCGGCCCGAGCGGCCCCGACCTGCGCCTTTGGCTCTGCCCGGGGTGGAGCAGCGGCCCACGCGGGCGCGGTCGAGGTCGGCGCCCCCCTCCGGCATCGCCGGCTGCTGCAGTGACCTGCGCGTGGGCCTGGAGAACTGCCAAGTGGTCGCCCACGATAGCCCCCAAGTGACCATCCGAAACGAGCGGCGGCAGGCGCAGCTGCCGCAGCCTGAGTCAGTGTTTGCCAGCCCGCAGAGAATAGAGGAGGACTCGCCCCCGCAGCACAACTTGGAAACCCGTGCAGAAGCCGCCGCCGTTACCACTGTTATGTCTGATCCGCAGTCGCCAGAGCCGCTTAGACCGCTTGGGCTGCGTGATGACTCCATTGCTGTGCAGATCGGACGGACCCAAAGCTCGGAATCCGTCAAGAGCTGGAGGCGGCGATGCTTCCTGAGATTTTCGCTTGGCTGGCCGAAGCCAGGTCTCACCAATGGCCTGCGGCTTGGGGCTTGTGTTTTGGAGATCCTCCTGGCGCTGTCCTCTCTGGCAGTTCTGATCATTTCCCCCTTGATCGCTGGTTTTGCGACGAGCGAAGATCTTTCCATAGCTTTACCGTGGACGCAGACTCCGGTGGTTTGGCCACCCCTTTTTCAGCCCACAGCCGCCATGCTCAGTGGCTCGGAGCTGCTGCTTGCGGCGGGCCCTTTGCTGCGCACCTTCCGTGGGAATCCCTGGGTTGCCGGCGCGCCCGTGGTGCTGCCGCACAGCGCCAGGAGTTTGGGCGACTGGAGCGGGCACCTCGTGGCGCTCTCGGCCTCCGGCTCCAGCGCCTCCAGCGCCTCCAGCGCCTCCAGCGCCTCCAGCGCCCAGAGTCTCTTCGTCGCCTCGGACGCCGTGGCTTCGGGCGGCGCGGGCGCGGCGGCGTCCGGCAGCGCCTTGGACCTCCTGGCCGCCCCGGAGCTCGGCGGCGCCTCCTTGCCAGTGCCCAAGGCCCAGGGCGAGGGCGGCGCGGTGCTGGCGCTCAGCGAGGCAGCGGCGGCCTTGGTGCTGGCGAACCCCCAGGGCTTGCAGCTCTGCAGGGTCTCCAACAACTCCAAGGAGAGAGCTGAGGGAGGAGGGGGGGGCATGGAAGTTGGGCACGTTTCTTGCTTCAGGCGATTGCTTTGTGGTGGTGGCCGGCCTTTGCTCAACCGCGACCCGTGAGGTTTTGGTGTGGTTGCGGGGGGGGGGGGTCGAAGCTGCGGCCTTTCAACACTTGGCAGGAGCTCAGGGTTGACTTTGTCTCCAACCTGAGGCTGCCAAGCAAGGCGCGTCTGAAGCCATTCACGCCGAACCCCGGTACCAAAAGGCGCCAGGCACACTCTTCAGTGAGCACCGACTCTTTCGGCTTCAGCCCACCAGGTTTCATTCCATTATACTTTATGGCGAGCTCACCGGGCAAAACGAGCTTGGCAAAAAGCCGGCATATGGGTATGGGTCAAAAGGAAAGCACCGCAGGTGTTCATCGCTTCCATTTCCCAGGGCAAGCCATTTTGGGGGCTCCCCAATTTTTCACCCACACTCATCTGCATACTGTATGGCGAGCTCTGGGGATAAAGCTCCTTTACTTGGGGGATAGGTTTGGTTTTGGACGTATCATGTAAGGCCGTCTTTGGGGCACACAAATGTTGACACCCCCATGGCCAAATCTGCCGTTGTTCGCTTCCCATGGCCGGCCAGGGGAACTTCACGGCGCTGCACCTCTGCCCCGCCCCCAGCTGCACCTCGGAGCCGGTGCTCTGGGCCTTCGACGCGGCGGCGCGGCGTGTGGTGGCGCTGGGCTTCGCCAGCGGCCGCGCGCTCGGGGCCTTCCGGGTGCCGGACACCGTCGGCCGGGCGCTGGTGACGGGCAACGGCAGCCACCTGCTGCTGGTGGCAGCGGCCTGGCGGGTGGGGGGGGCCAGGAAGGGAAGGGGAGTGGAGGGGACAGAAAGGCAGCGATAGGATAGGTCTTGCCGGACCAAAAGGCGGTTTTTTTTGGGCGTGTGGCAGGGAAATGCCTGGAGCTGAGACCCAATGGCTTCTAGATGTCTTTCCGCCTGCCCCTCCTTTTCATGCAAGACCTTCTTCCAAGGTGGGCGAGCCATCGTTGGTTTTCTCTACGCCACATCCTGCACTGGAGTGAGCGCTTCGGCCTTACGCTCGAGATTGTACAGACCGGTGGCTCACTGGATGTGGCTGCCTACGACGCAGATGTGTAGTTAGCTTCCTTAGACCGGCCATTCCGTCTCACTAGCGCGCTGTCGAAAGACAACAGGGCTCAGTTTCACAAGAGCACAGTCTTAGCCACTCCCCAAGCTCTTGCAGCGCTGCAAGCATCTTTGCCCGTTGCATAAAACGGAAACCTCGATCGTTGCATCATGGTCTTTGGCAGGGCACGGCACGGCGCACGATTGCATGACCTGGGCACAGTGGCATTCAGAATTTATGGCCTGTCACGGGTCGCCTTCAGCGTAGGAGTTGGGATTCCATTGCTTGGAGTCTTGACGTACCAGATGGCTTGCAGAGTCATAGGGGCCCATCCGGCATTGGCGATGGCATGAAGGCGACTCCGAATGATTTTCGGTCAGCGGTGAGTTTTTTTGGGGCAGCGAACAGCTCCCACTCAATGTGCAACCCAGCGGCAAACCAAGATGAAAAAAAGACAGCTGGTGCGTGCGGGTTTGCTCTGCCAGGTGTCTTCCTTGAACCATTTGGCCAACGGATTTCTCCAGGGATCAGCGCAGGTTTGACATAGGTCTTTTTGGCTGGCCCTGCCCAGGCTTGGGTTTGCCTGGTGCCAAACTGTCTTGGCTGGTTGAAGGCATTTCGGTAACGGATCTAAACACTTTTTGGTTGAGATAGGATTCTGGTCTGGACTCGCAGAGCTACCCCCCCCTTTTGATGCCCAAATCTTCCACAATTCATGGCCGGATGTTCGGAACTGGGTCCACGGCAGCGGGGCCGGTTTCCGCCAGCAGCAACAGGTTTCCCTCGTTCGAGCGCCCGGCTTCCGGCTTGAAGCGCTTCGGCTTCGGCTTCGGCGGCGGCGAGGCGTGGCGCCTTTGGCGGTGCTGGGCCAGCCGGCGCAGCTGCAGGAGGGTTCCCGTGGCTCGCGTCGTGACGGGACGGGACGGGGAGGGGACCTGGAGGAAGAACGGTGTGCTCTCACGGCCAGAGGCCCATTTTAACCCTAGAAGCTGAGCTGGATGTGTTTTTGTTTCCTTTTTTTTTTTGCGGGGGGGGAAGGTGATCACCTGTGCAGTAGGGCAAGTGGTCGGATCTTTGGCCAAACAGGGGGGAGCAGCTCCAAAACAGTTGCGCGGTTGTGCAGGGCCTTGGGCCACTGTGTCACCTGCTTGAGAAACAAGTAGCTGCAAACTTACTTGCCGGCTTTGATTGGAGCTGCGCATTCAAAGGGGCAGTTACATAGTAAAGGCAGTTGAAGCGGCAGGACTTTCTTCTTTTTTCGACCTCCCGCTCAGCATTCAATCCTGGCAAGTGTTGGACCTGCTCGAAGTGTCCCTCCCACTACCATTTTCCCTTCAAAAGGAACATGCTGCCAGGGAACCCCTGTCAGGTTCCATGTTAATTGGTAGGAGGGTGATGAATGGCGCTATGATCAGTCGGCATTGGGGGCTTGTTCCAAGTGGCTGCCTCCTCATACTTTGCCAAATGCAAGCATGGCACGCTCAACCCAGGCTTTGTCTTCGTGAGCCAGTGTGTTGGGAATGAACCTGGGAGTTTTCATAGAAGCTGCAAGGGATTGTCTTGTTTTGGGGTCATTCCATTTCTCACTCCTTGCTGAGAACCAGCAAGTCTTTTCACCCTGGCTGAAGGGAAACCAAAGGCAAACCAAAACTGGTTGGGGCCTCCTGTGCCACGTGTCCAAACAAGCACCCCAAACCAATTTGGTCATTGGTGTTATCATGCACAGGGCTGTGGGACATGACCCAGTTCTGTGATACAACAACAAGGGCTTCCCAAAGACTAGCCCCCCATATGCTGGGGGACATTCCCCAAATTATCGCAGAAGTGGTTGGATAAACCCCGAGTGATCCCACAAGCCCTGCCGGTTTCGTAGCCAGCCAGGCTCTGGGCGTCCGGGCAGTGGTGAATCTCTGCGAGGAGTATGCCGGGCCGAAGGCTGAAAGGGTTCAAGGGCCTACGACCCCTCAATTTGGGGTGGGCTTTCCTTTTATAGGTTCCCTTCCAAGCACAAAAATTGGGTCCAACTCCAACCCCCCAAAAATCGAGCGGCTTTCTTTTAACATTTTTTTGGGCATCACCTCAAAACCAGCCGAGCCGCTTCTCCGCCGGGCCCAGCGAGGCGGAGTACGAGCGCCTCAAGATGCGGCAGCTGCGCCTGCCGACGGTCGACCACCAGGAGCCAGCCACCGCCGACCTCCGCAAGGCAGACCGGTGGAAGCCGAAAAGCAACCCAGGGCGGCTCTGGAAGATTTTGACTCGCCATGTTTTGGGTGTGGCTCAAATGAAGGAGCCAGAGGGCAAATAAGAAAGGTTAGATGGCAAAACTGCAGTTTGGGATGGGAAGGGTAAGTTTATGGTCGTTTCAAGTTTAAGGTTGGCTTAGAGTAGGTCTGTGCTGAGTATAGGGTGGGTTTAAGGTGGATGAGGGTGGGTTTTTTTGCTTACCTTGGCTTAGGGTTGGTTTAGGATTGGCTAAGGCTGGCTTTAGAATGGGTCTACAGTGGGTTTATGATTGGTTTAGGGTTGGCTTAGGGTGGATGTAGGGTTGGTTGAGGGTTGGTTAAGGGTGGGTTTAGAATAAGTTTAGGGCTTGTGTCGAAAGGCTTCAGGGTCGATTTAGGGTGGATTTAGTGTTGGAATAGAATCTGTTTGAGGTGTGTGTAGAGTGGGTTTGGGGTCGGCTTCGGGTGTTGGATTAGGTTGATTTAGAGCAGATTTAGGGTTGATGTACGCTGGGGTTGGGGTACGGTGGGTTTATGTTTGGTTTAGGTGGTCTAGAGTAGGTGTGTGGTGGCTATAGGGTTGGCTTAGGGTTGGTGTAGGGTTGGTTTAGGGCGGGTTTGCGGTTTGTCTAGGGTGGCGTTGGGGGTTGCGCTCCGGGTGGCTTAGGGTCGCTTAAGGGCTGCTTAGAGTTGATTTGGGGTGGCTTGATTTCATAGGGTTTGTCAAGGGTATGTTGTTCTTTTTTTTGGGTTGGATGTAGGTTGGTTTAGGGTTGGTCTGGGATGGTTTAGGTGGGGTTTGGGGTTGGTTTAGGCTTGGATGTGGATTGGTTTGCTGTTGGCTTAGGGTTGGCTTCGGCTGGATTTAGGGTTGGGTCAAGCTTAGCTTAGAGTCTCAGGGTGGGTTTAGAGTTGGATTAGGGTGGGTTCATGGTTGGTACAGGGTGGTTTGGAGTGGCTCAGGGTTGGTTAGGATTGGTGTAGGGCTGGCCTAGGGTTGGTTTGGGTTGGGTTTAGGGTGGGTGCAGCGGGTTTAGGGTGGGTTTAGGTCGGATATAGGCTTTTTTTTTGGGTGGGTTCAGGGTGGGGGCAAGGTTGGTTTAGGGTTGTATTTTTTGTGGGCTTGAGCTTAAGGTTGGTTTTGGGGTGGTTCGGGATTGTTTAATGCTGGGCTTAGCGTGGGTCTACGGAGGTTTTAGGATTTGGTTAGGGTTGGCTTAGGGTCGGTTTAGGGTTGAGTTGAGGGTTGGTTTTGGGTCGGTGGGTCTGTTCAGGGTCGTTTTTGTGTTGGTTTAGGATGGGCTTAGGGTTGGATTAAGGCTAGAATAGTTAGGGTGGCAGATTGGAGTCTTTGGTTCCATCTTTGGGTTCCATTCTTTGGGTTTGCGCCACAGCCATTTCAGGTTTGAGCGGTTGATCTCCGGCAGGCCGTGGCCTTTATCGAGGAGCAGCGCGCGCTGGGACACAAGGTGTACGTGCACTGCAAGGCGGGCCGGTGCAAGTGGCATGTGCGTCAAAGAGCTTGCGATGCTTGCACTTGCCTGAAACCCTGGCTAGGTCCCCCAGCTAGGTGCCCTTTTACCGTTTCCTTTTTGGGGGAGGGTTCCCCTACTCAAATAGACTACAGACAAAGGGTACCCTTATTCTAACCTCTCTGCTGGAGTACCTAGCTGGGGTTCAATTGCCACCATGATAGTACAGAGGTTGAAAGAACCGCCATGGTTTTTACCCTGCCGGATTTGTCCTCTAAGTTTCATTGGCCCTTGGGGAATCGGTTGCAATGAAGAACGTTTGCATCAGCAAATTTGGGAGAAGCGGATCCACCCAACCCAAAGCCAAGCGTCACCGGCACGCTTCGCCAAAGCTCGAGCCGGCGGCTGGCTCGAGCCGAGGCTGGCCACGGCCGAGCTGCAGCGAGGGGCTCGGCAAGAGAGATCAGCTTAAGGAACCCGTTTTTTTTGCACGTGGGTATGGGTCAAAATGAAGCCACCAGGAATTGGATCACAGATTTTAGGTCGATGTTTCCATTTACCTGGGCAAGCCATTTTCGGTTTTTGCACATGGGTATGGATGGGTTTAAAAGGAAACCAACAAGAAGACCGAAGCCAATTTTGGGAAGGGTTACCCCTATTTTGAGAAACTCTCACATGGGTACGCCACCAGGAATTGGATCACAGGGATTTTAGTCGATGTTTCCATTTACCGATCGGGCACGCAATTTTGGGGTTACCCTACTTTTGACCCACCGCCATATTCCTTTGTCACTTGCATGGCTTGCCTTCAGCTCGCAATGGATGCATGAAACTCCTTGCTGGGGCAATGTTTTTCCAGTGTCCCCTCGCACCGATCGAAGTGTGAGTCAAGCGCAGGCTGTAGCACTGGCGTGGCTGATTTTCACCAGATCCGCTGCGTCGGAGGCGCGCGCGGGAGTGCAGCGTGTTGAGTGCAGCCCGATTCCGGCTTGACCCGCGTGTGCCTACTGATGCGTCTTTGGAGCTTGTAGCTTCGATGTAAAAGCTTGGATCTTCCTGGCAGTCTCACTGAATCTAGCTTTAGGGCGATTTGCCAACGGATCTTTGGACTTGAGCACTTTTCGTTTGAGACAGTTTGGATTTTCCGAAGTTGGACCCACCAAAAGTCGAGAACTCTTCTTGCAGGGGTCCTTCGCATTCGCCAGGAGGTCCGGCAGCTGAACCTGGAGCTGCTGCAGAAGCGCCATGTGCGGAGTTACTTGTACAGGCGAGGTGACCCAGGGGCCCCGAGGCCACTTTTTGAAACAAATTCCGAGGTTTGGTCGGGGGAGTCAGAGGGGCCCCCAATTTTTCTCCCCAAATGGTTGGAAGTTTGGCATGTGTGGGGATCTCGGACAGGCAGTCCAATATCCGTGCCTTCGTCGAGGGAGTGAAGGCCACAGGTGGGGG